TTTTCAAACAAACTAAAGAGGGGTAAACAAAATTAACAAAGAAATAAAAAGAAAGAAAGCATTCTTGACCAAAAAAAGCACAAAGGGCATCAAAACTTTATAAAAAATTTACCACAACAAAAATATTGAGCATGCATCTACGAATCCAGATTGAAACATTGATGCAGTTCTAAATATCACTACAGAGGAAATAATGTATTATATTAAATATATTGCAATTAAGTTAAAGCAACAAAAAGGGCAACAAGCAAAAAAATCAAGTGTCCAAAAATACAGAACATAGTAAAATAAGGTGGGCAGTTTTAACAGGGAATTAAAGGGAACTTTTACCTCAAACGAATCATAAGGATGCGACACAGTAGGCCTATTGGATTTTTCCAGACAAAACTCATTAAGTGATGTCCAGCTTCAGCTCAATAGATTACACCTACTGTGCAATTGTGATCAAAACCAAGTGAGTCTACGGATTGCAAAGAATGCAAAATATGCAAATACAATGTGTACAAATATAATAATACAAGAATGCAAAAAAAGCAGCAAAAGCAGAAGAGAAACGGTACATAATGCTCAGCTCATGATCAGCATAGACCATCAGATATCAAAAGGCCATTTTGTAACACTTCTACAAAATATTTTGCCAAAGGCAGAGGTATAATATAATGATCAAAACAATATGGAGAACATTGGACGGAGAGATCTTTCATTGTAGAGGCGTAGTATAAGATAGTAATTTAACTTGAAGGACTATGTCAAAAATATACAGCTTCACCTCAACATGCTTTCACTTGCTTTTAGCAATCTCAAGTAAGAATGGTGTAGAAAAAATATTCTTAAAGCAGAGCAAATCACATCGAGCTGATGAGAAGCCGCGAGAACATCTGTTCCTAAGATGACACAATCAAAATAATTATATAAATGGATTTAACAAAGGTAAACAGACATGCAAGCAATTCCGCCATTTTTCCAGGTATGAGTCATCTCCTTGTCAGAGACAGTGCCAAATTACACGGCTTCTACATTGGAATAAACAAGGCAGATACGCGTATTCACTTTGCAACTTCTGACAAAATGACAAAGGCTTCAAGGGAAGACTTTTAAGACATCAGGGAACAAAGACAATGTATGAAAAGCTAAAAGAAGAGCCGAGTAAATAATGCGGGACAAAACCATGGGGTGTACGTTTGAGTGCTTTCGTTTTTGTTTTTTTCATATTTTTTTCCCCCATTCAAACTCAAAACAGACTTGCTTTGAGAATGATAGATTATAATTCTAGAACAGTGACCAAGAACATTATGAGACTAAAGGTTGTCGCTACAAAGATCTATATCCTTGACTGATGAAATACAAAAATGACACTACAAGACTACAGGTACAAAGCTTGACATTTCCATAATGATGGCATATTTGCTTATTGAATACAGGATAAAGGCTTTTGTGGTGTAAGGCTAAAAACGATGCAATATCTGCAACATCATACAAAATATGGAGTACAGTCCTATCAACAAACAGATCTGAAAGGTTACAAAAGAGAACAGATATATCTTTCTTAAGTTCAGTTCCAACACCAAAGTTTTGGGATATGAAACAAAAGCAGTATTGAGCACTACAGTTGAACCTGATCATGTGTCCAAGTACAGGGTACCTAAAAAAAAAGAGGACCCAATTAAAGACCAAAAACTCAGTCATCTTTACACCTATTTCAACGAATCTTTGAAGAAGTAAAATTCAACCAGGGGGATATTATATTTATGAGTATGAAATAAATCAACTGCCAAGTTAGAACAATATTAAGTTTTAAAATTTCAACCAAAACTGATTAAAACGCAAAACTTCGCAACTTCTTAAAAATCAGCCTCATAGTTATATTTTGAGAGGTCATTATTTTTGCACTGAAGAACAAATTTATAAAAAATTATATTGCCTAGTACACTCAGGGAGGTGAGGACTATTTAAATCTCCAGGTGTTGACCATTTTTCTCCATGCAAATTCCAATAAGCCACTGGAAATAACCTCGTAGTATATTCGTGGGTCGATTCTTTGGACATACTGTTCAACATTGAGTTTCAACTGTTCGATCATTTGAGGCTTGTTTCCAAAGACTCAGTCAGTCAAAAAAACCCAAAGATAATAATTGCATATGCTTAAGTTTGGGTGAAAGTGGTGACCATTCATTTGCAAACTTACGCTTATAAGGCATTCCCTAAACCTTTGTTACAACCATACAAGGAACACTAAAGACATTGGGGGGGGGGGGTTTTTTTTGTCCCCCTTTTTGTTGGGGGGGGGGGGGGTGGCCCCATCCCACTGGAAACAGACCTCTACCGCATAACCCCTTCTCCTCTCCAAACTTCTCTTCCAAAAATTTCTCAGCATGGTGAGATATCCATCTGATGTGACTGTAGCTATTTTATGGTCTTTTTCTTGAAACCAAAACCGGTTGTAAGCTGAATGCTTTTATGAAGCGAAATTTTTGCATTTAACCTCATTTTAGTTGAAATTTTTAAAAACTTTTTATTTCTTGAAGGCATTGATGGATTTTTGTTATATTTACAAACTTGATGTTCCCCTGGTTGAAATTTACTTGTTGAAAGTTTTATTAAAATCAGTGCACTGATGACCAAGTTATTGCCCTTTAAGTGGGTCCTCTTTTTTTTCAAAACACCCTGTACTACACTGTACAGGAGACAATACCTTGCGGAGAACACTGGAGAAACAGACAAGACCTAGATCTCATTCGGTTCTATCATCTTAGTTCACAATGTGACTCATGAAAACTGATAGCTGTTACTGTGACATTCTTTACATTCCAACTCATAATGTACAATTTGTTGTGAATGACCTTCCAATGTCTCTTGACTTCAATGTACCAGAGGTGCCAACCGGCTACAAAAAAATCCGGACTTTTTCAAACCCCGTAGAAACATGTATGAGGGGACTCAAAATTTATTAATCAAACTGTCAAATACATCTACTATCAGGAAGTCAGACAAAATCTGGACAGTTTCAGAAATACCAATCTCTCGCAAAACCTGCACAGTTTCAGAAATATGATTTTCCAATTTATCCGGAAAATCAGCACCTCTGCTGTACACAAAGTTAGCATTCAATTTTTTCCAAGTCGCACAATGAGAGCATTACTCAATATATCTTAGGTAAAAGAAGATGGCATCATCTTCATACTTTGACACGAAACTATCACGTATGTGTGCTAGTTATGTACGAATTTAGCAAAGGACTGGGTGGCCGACCCCCTGACAGTTCCCACAATGCTACAATTACAAAGTTCTTCCTGACATTTTTGACAGTTTTGAGTAACTAAGACTATGATGTCAGAAACCAAATGTTCCATCTTACCCATCAAAATCGTAAGATTACTTGGAGTCATTATCAAGATATTCAAATAATTGCATTCGATAAAGCTTGACATTCTGACATGTTGTGAAACTCAAAATTTGTAACGTCAAATTTCTCAAAACTAGGTTCTGAGCAGATAGAAGAACTTTGTAATTCTAGGATAGCAACAAGGCAACAAGAAACAGCAGCAACAACATCGGGGAACAAAACAGCAGGAAGATGCTGCATGACATTTATACAATCATCATCCTAGCTACAGTGATGACTTCATTTGATGAGTGGAATTTGATTTCCGACATGAGTGAAATGGCACAAAAATGTGCAACACAGCTCAAATAAGTTATTGTTTAAGTTACCCTCAAATTAAGCCCCAATAAGATTATTATTAAAAGCCTTAAAACCTCAAAAAAAAGCAAGAGGCAGTCAGCTGGATATAAAATTGATGGCAAGTAATGAAGCCGATACCAAACTAAGAATCAAGATTTTTTAAAAACAACAACCCAAAAAACAGAAGTCTAAAAAAGAATTTGTTAAAAAACTCTAGAGATATACTAGCTTCTGCCCTTAAAAATCAGTTAGAACTAACGAAAAAGTCAAATATACTCAAAGTTGAATATTATGAAAAAAGATATACGTTTTTCAAGAAAGATTTCCCATCTTAAAAAAAGACACCTCTAAACTTCCTGCTCTCTTGATGATCGTTTGAGGTTTGAAGGCTCCACAGAGTAAACTCACAGGGACTTCACATACAGGACGGAACACAATACCCATCACAGCACTACTTAGTGGTCCCCGAGATGGAAAAACTTTGCTTTGTCATTGGTGAAAAAAAAGGCAAAAAAGAGGGGAGAACTCACAATATTGCCAATGGTCGACACACAACACAAAATTAGACGGCTGATGTCTGTCTGTGTGTGAGGGGAGGAGGGAGAGGGGAAGTTGGAAGGGGGAAGTTGGGGG